CTGAGACACCTTTGGGTAGTGAAGGGCAGGGTATAAATCCAATCTCCTCCTCCTCCTCCTCCTTCACAGCGTAGAGGGAACATTGCCCACCAGGTGCCTGCTGTGGGGAGAGGAAGGGAAGGCAGTTGTAAGCCACTTTGAAATTCCTTAATGTAGAGAAAAACAGGGTATAAAAACCCTCTTCTTTGTCCCAGGCAAGACAACCAGGAACCTCACTTGATACCCTTGTGGGCTGCCTCCAAAAAGGCATAGGAGGGCAGTGTGATGAATGTGGTGTAATGCTAGCAAAGTGAGGAAGATACACCTTTGTCTTTTCTTGGGGGATTTCCTTTCCTTGTTGGTTCTCTCCTTCCCTGTGTTTAATTTAACGTCTCTCCTCCCCCCCCCCCCCAGATGCCCCGGCACCTGTGAATGGGGAGTCGGCAGCCCAGAAAGGAGAAGGCACAACAGAGAACAAGGACAGAGATGAAGACTGGACTTCTGGGGACCCCAAGAGAGGGACGTCCCCCGAAGACACCCACAACGAGTAAGGATTGGCTGTGGGTTGGGACTTGGTTTGGCCTCCTGGTAGTTGCACCGACGGGAAGGCGTCTGGCGCTTCCCCCATGCCGAAAAGGTAGACAGTTCGCAACGGCACTCTCTTGGCAGTGGGAGCCCATTGAGAGGAATGTTCCGGAAACATCCCGGTCTCTGGAAGTTACAGAATCCACAATCCAGATGGTATTAGGGAGGGTTGTGGGCCCCAATGTTCCCTTTAAGCTGTGGAGTCTTGTGAGCAAAATTTCTAGTTTGTGAGCTGCTGGCATTAAAGTTGTGAGCGAATGATTTGACTCCTGCATAAATTAGCTTGCTCTGGAGCCATGCTCCCTGAGCTGAGACAGAAATCTGTGAGCTGGAGGCTAAAATTCTGTGAGCTAGCTCACACCAACTCAGTTTAGGGGGAACACTGGTTGTGGCTCAGTTGAAGATCCTCTGCTTGGCATGCAGAAGGTCCCAGGTTCAGTCCCCAGCCTCTCCAGTTAAAAGGACCAGGCAGCAGGTGATGTGAAAGACCTCTGCCTGAGTCCCATGGGGGAAAGCGGGAGCGTTTGGTTAAGAGAATGGAGACTGGTTCCAATGAATGATGTACACGATCTATTGAGCAGTTCTTGAGAGGCTAGAAATGACTTGTCAACCGGGAAGTCGTCGGATTGCTTATCTGGCAGGAATGATTACTCGTCCTACAGTGGTGGGACTATTGAATCGCCTCTTCTATAGCAGCAAGCCCTGAAATAAAATATTCCCTTGGATTGCGTTTATACGGGAGCTAACTATTTAGACAGGAGAATATTTGGACTATACCCTTCATATGTTTCTGTTACTCTGATCCTGTATTTGACTGCTTATATATGAATCTGAGTGAATTTGTAATTACCTACAAGGTATTTACAATACCTACCTACACTATACAATAAATACCTACACCTGCTGTGGCTCAAGTGGTTAAGACGCTGAACTGCAGGGTGTGGAAGGTCAGTAGTTCAGCAGTTCGAGACCCGGGTTGCCGCATGACGGAGTGAGCTCCCGTCTCTAGTTCCAGCTCCTGCCAACCTAGCAGTTCCAAAGCAAGAAATTGCAAGTAGATAAATAGGGACCACTTCGGTGGGAAGGGAACAGCGTTCCGTGCGCCTGGGTGTTTAGTCATGCCGGCCACATGACCACGGAAATGTCTTCGGACAGCGCTGGCTCTTCGGCTTTGAAACGAAGATGAGCACCGCAACCCTAGAGTCGGACTTGACTGGCTTTCGAGCCAGGGAACCTTTACCTTTACCTTTACAAGGTGATTATACTTGTTTAGTACATTGCACGTAATTTATATTTTCATTAAATTATTGCCCGTCTTGAGTAGCCAATACTGACCTTGATGGACCAAGGGATCAGCATAAAGCAGTTTTGTTGAGGGATTGTGGGACCCTGGGATTGTTTCCCTGGGACCCTCCCATTCCTCTTTAGTCGTTTTATTGGTCAGGAGAAGACTGGCAAGGGACTGAACCAATAAGAGAGAGAGACCATCGTTCTTAAACAAAACCAGTTTATTACAATACTAGCCGCAAAGGCCGATGTAGAAGCAATACAATGGCAGCGCCCCCCTCTGCCCCCGAGAAGGACATAATGGCAATGTGCTTTACCCCCTTTCCCCAGACCCCAGGTCCAAGGGCCAGTGGAACTCCCCGCCAGTGCCTTCCCAGCTGGCCACCCGCCCAGCTCCACCGCCCGTGGCCGCCTCCGCCCCGAGAAGGCTATGCTGACAATCTGCTTTCTCCCCAGACCCCGAGGACAAGGGCCAGCGGAACGCCTTGCTAGTGCCTTCCCAGCCACCCGGCTCCGCCTCCCGCAGCCGCCTCCGTCCCAGGGGTGTCAGCTCGCAGGCCACACAGCTACCTGCACCCGGGTGTGGCTGACTTTGACGGCCGTGGTGCCGCAATGAGAGGGCTTGGCCTCATGACTGTCTGTTGCCTCCCGGCACACTGAGGCCGAGAGGCTTGGTGGCGCCTGTGTGGGCAGGACTCAGGCAACGCAGCCAGTGGAAAATGGGACAGCTACTGAGTGGCAGTTCAGTCAGCCAATTGATTTGGGAGCGCATCGAACATTGCCACTCAAATAGAATTATATATAAGGAAAGATAAGCTTAAGGACAGAGAGCACTTCAGCACTTACAAACCTTTTAGAATAAAACCATAACGTTTCCATCTTCAGCATAGAATACTTCAACACGAACATAGTGCACGAATTCCAATTTCCAATAACCTTCATTGGCATAACAATAGCTTTAAGAAGAAAAGGTAACCGTACAATTCAGCCCATAGGCCAACAAACAGAAACCATCAAAGTACAGCGATTTGTATCACTGTGTATAATAATAATAAAAATAGGACAAAGTGATAAAAGTTCGGAAGAGTAATCTTGAGTAATTAAAACAGTTCCAGTTAGAAACTTCTGTCCGAAACGGAATCATAGATACACCTTCTCTCTTTATCTCTCCGTCTCCTTTCCTGTTCCCTATTTTCTTTCCTCCTTTTCTCGGTCCCTGAGTGTATTTGCCAGGAACTCTGCCACCTGCTCAGTAACTTCCGGGGTTTTGTCCGCTAGCAAAAATTTAATACCTCTATTGGTCGTCGTAACCTTAGAGAGTTGAAGGAGAGGGCTAATCAGGTGTAAACGTAGCTGAGTATACAGCGGGCAGTTTAAGAGGATGTGCTGTACAGAGTCAGGTTCTTTGCAGAGACATCTGCAGAGTCTTGCCTCATAGGCCTTGTATCTGCCTGTGACCACGGCCGAGGGAAATATGTTGAGTCTGGCCAGCAAGAATGCTCTGCGTTGGGAAGGGATTGTTAAGCTTGAAAAGTACTGAGCCATAGAGTTTTGCGGGAAGGCGAGACTCAGGAAATGCGGGGAGCGAGTCCCCTCAGCTCCAGCTTTTATTAATTGTAAATTAATATCCTGGATCCTCCTTTGGATTATTTGAAATCTATAGATTTCGTTGGAATTGGCCAGGGAGTCTAGATCAATACCTAAAGAATTAATTTTCTCACTAATTGGGTCCATTTAGAAACATACGGGTCAGCAGTTGAAGAAGCGATAAGACTATTTGGAGGAGGTTGGAAATAAAGATGTAACCAGTATTTGATGGTAGCCATCCAAGCTCCAGATTCTATGGTATAGAAGCCTAACTCAGCACACAAGGTGAAGTAACTAACCGAGTTGGGAATACCAAGAATTCAACACAGAAAGATTGCATATAGTGCACTAGTATGAAATACAGAGCGCCCTAGGGCTGATTGATGACCGGCCCGGAGCAAAAGTCTTCAACGATTCATTACCCTTGGTACCCATAGGTACCCATACTCCATGAAATTGCTGAGCGGTCGGGTTAGAACAGATAAAAGGAAGTACTTCTTCACCCAAAGAGTGATTAACACATGGGATTCACTGCCACAAGAAGTGGTGGCAGCTACAAGCATGGACAGCTTCAAAAGGGAATTAGATAAGCATATGGAGCAGAGGTCCATCAGTGGCTATTAGCCACAAGGTATAGATAGGAACTCTGGGGCAAGTGATGCTCTGCCATCTTGGTGCTGGGGGGGTGGTGGTGGCAAGAGTGGGAGGGCTTCTAATGTCCTGGCCCCACTGGTGGACCTCCTGATGGCACCTGGTATTTCTGGCCACTGTGAGACACAGAGTGTTGGACTGGATGGGACTTTGGCCTGATCCAACATTGGCATCTCTTATGTTCTCTTATGTTCAGCCCACATGGATGACATAAGGTTAAACACGCTTTTAGCAGAAGAATTTCAAACTAAAGAGAACAGTTTTCACCCTGAACTCATACCCTAGCTACCCTAGACCAGAGGTGGCCAAACATGCTTAACGTAAGAGCCACATAGAAGAAACATCAGATGCCTGAGAGCCACAAGACGTGAAGAAACATTACACACATATGTTTTAATTGGAAAATTTGTAAATTTGCTTTTTATTTTATTTTATTTTTATTAGATTTTCATCCCGCCTGGGCTGGCTCAGGGCGGCTTACAAACCGAGAAGAATTCCAACAGTACAATCACATAGAATCACATAAATTAATAAATACAACCAATTTTCCCTCTAAGCTGTGGAGTCCTGTGAGGAAAAATTCTACTTTGTGAGCTACTGGCATTAAAAGTTGTGAGCGAGCCATCTGGCTACTGCATAAATTAGTTTGCTCTGGAGCCCCATCCTTCCTGAGCGAAGAGAAAAATGTGTGAGCTGGAGGCTAAAAGACTGTGAGCTAGCTCACACTGACTCAGCTTAGAGGGAACACTGAATACAATATTACAACTCAAACATAATAAAGTGCTAGCAACATTCCTCATTTAATGGTCAGCTCTTCGGTCTTCTTCAACTGTCTCAGGTGATTGGCTCAGACAGTATTTAGGGGACCAGCAGGTCAGAGTTCCGCCAACATAGATGTCAATCGTTGGTGGTAGAGGTGTTAGTGATGATGTTAAATAAGACTGCCGGAAATAAAAACAAAAGGGGTAAAAACAGATATTGACAATTATATTTAAAGAGACAAATGCTTTCCTGAGGAGGTTCTTTTGCATATGGGTTGTTTCCTGAGGAGGTTTTTTTGCACGTGGCAGGCTGTTGAAATTCTAATCTTATCTGGAGTGCTATTGCATAACACTTTAGAAAAGAGGAAAGGGCTGGCCGTACTATCTCGCTCAGCCTCACAACCACCCTGGAAGGTAGGCAAGGGGGTGAGTGCAAGGTTGTTGAGGGGAGTGTCTTGCTGTCTCGGTGTGTTCATGGGAGAGGCGGGATTTCTTCCTCCGGCTGCCTGCATGCACGCAACAGGCCATCGTCACTATCGGTCTCTCTTGGCAGACCTTGAGGCGGAATACCCATGAGACAGTGTCCCCAGGCAGCTCTTCGGCAGGGCCGTAGCCTAGGAGTTTCTCTGGGATGTGGAAAGGCCAGTGGGCTGGCATGGTGGCTGTGACCTGACGCCCGCCCCCCCTAGGCTGCAGGTTTGAGTTGCAGAGCGCACTTCCTTGCAAGGGTGGCATTGAATATCGTGGCAGGGGCCCTGTGCAGTCTGTTTTGTCTGCTTGGGCATTGTGTGTGTGTTTGGTAATTTTTTTGTATTCTTCATATGTGCCTGTGAGTCTGTGCGACCTCTGGTGACTGACCCCTACTGGGGTCTTTGAGGATATTCAGAGAGGTGGCCGAGTGAAGCCTGCCCCCGCCTCCCGACGGCTGGTATTCCAAGGAGGTCTCCCATCCAAATACTTCCCAGAGTCGACCCTCCTTCGCTTCCGAGATCTGATGAGATCGGGCTTGCCTGGGCTGTCTCGGTCAGGGCATTACTTAATTTTTTTTCCTTTTTAATTTTTTCTTGTATTTTGTGTGTGTGTGTGCGTGTCCACCCGGAAGTCATGGCAACCTCTGGTGACTGACCCCTACTGGGGGCCTGGAGGATATTCAGAGACTGCTGGTATTCCCTGGAGGTCTCCCATTCAAGTACTTGCCAGAGTCGACCCTGCTCGGCTTCCGAGATCTGGCGAGATCTGGCTTGCCTGGGCTATCCAGGTTGGGGCTGTGTGTGTGTGTGTTTTTTTAGAGGGATTGTGGATTGTTGGTCATGGATATGCTTTGTGTACAGAAGGTTCAGTCCCCGGTATCCCTCGTTAAAGGACCTCGGGCACTGCAGAATACCTTTTTTTCCATCTTGGATCCCAGAAGGGACTTGAAATAGGGGTGAGATAAACGGGCTTGTGCCTCAACTGCATAGAGGGCAGCTTCCGACGTCCACTGCGGGCTGTCGGTCCCTCCGATTTACCTGCGACATCCTTGCCTGCCTGTGCCGCGGAAGATCATTCTGTCTCTCTCTCTCCCGCCTCCCTCCCTCCTCCCTTCCAGAGCGCACGACTATCCCAAGCTGGACCGGCCAGCCGCAGAGGGGGAGGGGTCCCACACCGAGTCGGACTCTGCCGACGAGGACAACGAGAGCTGAGACCGCCAGGAGGGGGACCTCACTAGGATTGCCACGAAGCTGCGACGCCTGGAAACCCGGCCTCTTGCCTCACCTTGTGTGTGTCAGAAATGCTTTTTCAAGCCACGCGATAGATGACATTCTAGGTCCTTCCCTGAGTCTCGTCCCCGCTTCACCCTCCCGTGCTCTTTCCCGCCCCTTTCCCATCCTCAGTCGCCCCCCCTCCCTTAGAGAGCAACGAACTCCCGGCAGCCGGGGTTTCGTTCTTGGGATCCAGATTTCAGGGTTTCGGGCATCCCCAAACCCATTTGTGTCGGAAAGGCGGCTTGTCAGAATTGTTTGGGTTTTTTGTCCATAATCTGCCTTGGTTTCCGTTATCGGGCCAGTAGGGGTCTCCAGCTTGTTTTGGATCGACCTCTGGTTTGTTTGAGGCACGCGGCGCCCCCGTTTTACGTGTTCCAGGGTCAGGTTTTCAGCTCTCTGGCCCTTCCTGTCCCACACACACAGAGGTACCTTTCGACACAACGCCAGGGGCATAGCTCCTCCTCCCCGCTGTCAAAAGCCCAAACTTTTGAAGGAGATCTGCTCTTTGTTTACCCAGGGCTGGTCCCCCGTGCCCCCTAATCCTGGCCCAGCAAGGTGGGGGGATGTCGGTATGGATAGCAGCAGAGTATGCTACTCCTCGCGTGAGTTCGGAGTTCCAATATCACCTCAGCAGCCTGCACCAGGAGCCCAGCTCCTGCCAACGATAGAAGACGATGCAGAGATCCTTGGTTGCACCAAATGTTGTGGCGTCCACTATCTGGTCTGCCACAGTCCAGGTTAGAAGGGCTGTACGTTGAATGCTCCCTTTCCATTTTGCAATGAGCGTCTAAGGAAAGGAGAATTTGGTAGACCCCCTTTCCCTGATACTCTCAGCAGGGGGCGCTCCCAAAGTCACGTTGTAGCCTTTACCACCTTGTTCTTCTAAGGCAAGTCTGGACCAGAAATGCAGAAGAATGAGGTGCTAGGTAGAACCTGTACTATACTGTGCTGGTAGAAACGACTATACTACTTCAGACAGTGGTTAGGCTCAGCTTGTTTTATTGCATATGCAGAAGCCTCCCTGCAAGTAGAAAATGGGTTCCGCAAGGTTTGGAGGCCAGCGAGGGCTAGTTTTCTACTCGCAAAGGCTTATTTTAAAGCTGGTGTTTATTTACGTGTCAACCCTTGTGTGGATTGGCTTGGAGGGGGGCAGCACCCCACCTGCGACAAGGAGTCTATGGGGGGACGACGACAGGGGACTCCTGGTGCAGCAGGATGGACCAGTTGCTTCTCTCTCTCTCTCTCTGCGCCCCTGGAATCTGAGAAATGCCACGGCGCTTTTGTCCAGCTGGTCTCAGAATTATGCACGGGTTGTAAGCAATGTTCCCTCTAAGCTGTGGAATCTTGTGAGCAAGAATTCTACTTTGTGAGCGACTGGCATGAAAGTTGTGAGCAAGCAATCTGGCTACTGCATAAATTAGTTTGCTCTGGAGACCTCCTTCCTGAGCTAAGACAAAAATGTGTGAGCCGGAGGCTAAAAAACTGTGAGTTAGCTCACACTAACTCAGCTTAGAGGGATCACTGGTTGTAAGCAATGCTCCCTCTAAGCTGTGGAGCCCTGTGAGCAAAAATTCTACTTTGTGAGCTACCAGCATGAAAGTTGTGAGCAGGCAGGTGATTTGGCTACTGCATAAATTTGTTTGCTTTGGGCTGAAGCCCTCCGTCCTGAGCAAAGACGGAAATGTGTGAGCCGGAGGGTAAAAAAACCGGTGAGCTAGCTCACACTAACTCAGCTTAGAGGGAACACTGGTTGTAAGTGGCCAGGTGACTCCGTGTTTCATGTGTTGCCAAAAGGTCTCTCCTCCATCACCTTGGTCTTCCTCTTTCGGGCCTGCCAGGTTTTCTCCTGTCCCGGGAACTCCCAGAATGCCCTGGGGTGGTCTGTGAGCGGCAACCAGCTGCTTCGTCTTCTCACATTCCGAAAAGGAAGCTTTCGGAGTGAGAGGCGGGGCTTGCTTACCGCAACACGATGGGGGGAAACCTGAAGTGGATTTTTGCCTTTTTCACATTGAAGCAGAATTGTTCCTTCCCTCGGAATGCCTGGCAAGTGGCAAAAGATCAATAGGATCCATGGAAGTATCTCAACAATGCCTTTTTTTTTTCCTGGTAAACCTGGAATAAAGATGTTCCTATCTGACAAGGAAGAGTGTTTTTGACTGTCAGTTTTAGGACTCTGAAGTAGATGGGCAGGAGATTTAGAAGGGACAGGAGGAATTTCTCTCAAAGGAAAGGAAGAACCTGTGGGGTTCCTCACTATGGGATATGCCGGCAGCCACGAGCTTTGGCTTGAAAAGGGGAGGGGGAACTAGACAGATTTATTAAGAGGTACATAAATGGCTATTAGCCATGCTGACTAAATGGAACCTCCATATTCCAGGGCAGTGTTCCTCTCTGTACCAGTTGCAAGGACCGGGGGGGGGGGGCCTTTGGTCTCTGTGTCGTGCGTATAGGCTTTCTTGGCCATTGGACTGGCCAGTGCTGGAAATGGGAGGCTACGTTAGACTTAACCACTACACCAAACTGGCATGGCCGCTCTTGAGAGCAGTTCCACAAGAGCGCTGCAAAGTGGCACAAATCAGCTTCCTTCAGATATGCGGGGCAGAAGGAAGGCATTGAAATGCAAGTTTCAAGATGGCCAGTGCTGGAAATGAGGGTGGAGCTGACATCTCAGCAGCTGGGTATCCGGGTCAAATTGGGGCAGATCTTCAGCGTCCTGCCTGAGCTAGCAAAAGGGGATGAAAGAACCTTACTGAATTTGAAGAAATAGGCTTGAGGGTTGCTGCTCCAGAAGTTGCAGAATTTTAAAGCGGGGTGAAATTTGGGGATGGCACAGAGAAGAAGGAGGATTGGATTTATACCCCGCCCTTCACTACCCGAAGGAGTCTCAGAGAGGAGTTGGTTTTTATACCCTGTTTTTCTCTACATTAAGCAGCTTCAAAGTGGCTTACAACGGCCTTCCCTTCCTCTCCCCACAGCAGGCACCTTGTGAGGTAGGTGGGGATGAGAGAATTCGGAGAGAACTGTGACTGGCCCAAGGTAGAAGAAGAATTGGTTTTTATACCCTGCCCTTCACTACCCAAAGGAGTCTCAGAGCGGCTTACAAACTCCTTTCCTTTCCCTTCCCCACAACAGACACCCTCTGAGGTAGGCGGGGAGAAGAAGAAGAGGAGGAGGAGGAGAATCAGTCTCTGTTCTTGGAGCTCCGTTAGCGTTATTGCCTCAAGGAGGGCAAGGAGAAGGAGGAGAGGAGACGGGGGTGTTTGTTTGTTTTGTTATTTTAGAAGAGTAAGAGCGGGATTAAGCACAGAGGGAAGTTAAGAAGTGAACATAAGTAAAGGTTGTGAGAAGGTAGTAGTTATAAGGAAGGATGTTAGCAAGGCTCATTCCTAAGCTGCTCTCCCTACTGAGGCAGGAAAAGAACTGAGCCAGGGTGACTCCCACCAAAGGAAACAGGAAGAAGTTTTGAACTTAGTCCTGCTTCCCTGAAGAAGGATGGGAATCACCCACAAGATGGCCTCAGCCTCAGGGGAGAATGGATTTCTACCCCGCCCTTCACTACCCAAAGGAGTCTCAGAGCGGCTCACAAACTCCTTTCCCTTCCCCTCCCCACCACAGACACCCTGTGAGGGAGGTGGGGCTGAGGGAACAAACTGCTCTTTTTTCAAGGACAGCTCTTATCAGAACTACAGCTTGCCCAAGGTCATCCAGCAGGTGCAAGTGGAGGACTGGGGAATCAAACCCGGTTCTCCCAGATTAGAGTCCACGCACTTAACCACTACACCAAACTGGCTAGCCAAAGAGCCCAGCATGGAGGTTAATAAGAACACAGAGAGGCATAGTCCAGCAACATGCCAGTTCTCAAACTCCCCTTTCAAGGAGTGGGATTTTAGTCTTCATCATCAGCAGGGGAGATAAAACTAGATTGTCAGAGACTCGGGCTGGAAATACCCCTTTTGAGTGTAGAAAGGATTTCTGACAGAGCAGCATTGTGGGGATTCTGGCGCTATCAAAAGTAAGAAGAATTCTTTGGACTCGATTTGAATTATGAAGAGGCTCTGTTGGGACTAAATCAATTGAAGAGAAGCTCGGCCCCATAAGGGCTCTTAAATGGTGTTTCATCTGTTGTTTGGAGCGCCAAGGAAACATCTGGCCTCTGAATCTGCCCACAGTGATACACACTTTGCATGGCTGTGGCTGTAGCCGGTATTGTGGCGTCCCATCCACAGACCGCTGCTTAATTAGGACTTTAGTCGGAACGGAAGAATTCTTCCGGGAGCTCGTTTTGGAACCCGTTGTTCCAAGATGTCTGTGTCCAGGCACAGAAGTTCCTTTGATCCCTCACCTTTTGAGGTATCCCAGGTTTTGGGGGATGGGTTGAATGTTCCATTTGCACATGTATGAACAACAGAACTGTGGACTGTGTTGTTTTTTGGCTTTGTGCACGCCCAACCCCAGCAGACTTTCCAGCGGGTCGCCAGAACAGCTGCAGCGCGAAATGCTGGGGGGGTGGGGGCAGTGTTCCCTCTAAGCTGAGTTAGTGTGAGCCAGTTCAGTTTTTTAGCCTCCGGCGCACACATTTTTGTCTTTGCTCAGGGTGGATGGCTCCAGAGCAAACTAATTAGCCCATTTGGTGTGAGAGCCAGTTTGGTGTAGTGGTTAAGTGCGTGGACTCTAATCTGGGAGAACCGGGTTCGATTCCCCACTCCTCCTCCACTTGCACCTGGCTGGATGGCTTTGGGCAAGCCGTAGTTCTGAAGAGCTGTCCTTGAAAAAGAGCAGTTTCTGTCAAGAGCTCTCTCAGCCCCACCCACCTCACAGGGTGTCTGTTGTGGGGAGGGGTCCTTATCCCGTTAAATTAAACTTTTTGCCACACCTCATTCATCTTTTTTTTTAACCGAAATAAAACCAAAAGCAAGTATAGGCGCACAGTCTCCAACCTCGATAATATCTGCGTAAACAGAAACCCCTCAAATTCAAAACTGCTGAGGTAGATTAGTCCCGGTAGTGGGAAAACGTCAGGAATTCTCTCGATTAAAGAACGTGTTCTTAAGATCTTAGAGTTAGCATACATGGATAAGCAGATAAATAAATTTATTGTGGAAATGGCTTTTACTGTTCTATATGAGTGGGATGAAGAAGTGGAGCCCAGTCACCGATTA